GTGGCGCCAAAGCGACTCTTACAAGTGGACAGATCCAAACCTTGGTTACTGGGAGGTAGCCAAACTTTTCATGTCCGATTTGGGGAACAGCGCTGTTGATGTGATAGATGCGAGTAGTACCGATTGCACGGGATTGACCAGTCTACTCTTCTGGTGTTCTCACTTTCCCGTACAACACCATCTAGTTGAAGAGGTGCGAAAGACGCGAAATACTAGATGGGGACACGCTCCGAGACAGGAACTAACAGATGGAGAAAAGGCAGATGCCCTTACAGCAATAAGAAATCTCCTTCAAGATCCGAACTTAATTTCTGACAATGGCGCCAAAGCGGCTCTCGCAGAGATTGACGCAATGGAGAAGGATTTCGATGCACGAAGTATTGAAAGGAAAGTTCTGGCAGATTTCCAAGAGACAGTGTGTGGTCAACTGGATGACATTGAAGGGGAAATTAAGGCCTTCAGGAAAGACTGCAAAGGTGTAAGCAACAAGGTAGAGAAGAAACTGTTGAGCTTACAAACCCGACAGACGAAGGTCTTCAAACTTCTGAAAAGTATTGATGACAGAATGGAGGACGCGGCAAATCGAAACCTTTCATATGTAACACAAGTTTCAAACCTTGTCAGATGGATATTTACAAGGGGAAAGCAGTTTGTCTTTGACAATGTTCGCAGCATGAATATAAAGTCCCTCACTCTGTGGTTGCTGTTAATGGTACTCCTGAGTTGCTTTAGATGTTTAAGTAAGAACTCTTACAACGATGGTGAGTTATGACTCTGTCAGCTACTTTCAGTAATATACTACATTTGTTTTCAATTACTTATTGGTGTGCGATCGAAAAAGGGGAAGACCGGACAAAGGTTTTAAGCACGATATGGATGAAGAGCTAATTTGATAATCTAATTAGAAGCAAATCAATGCAAATGAAAAGAAAGAGAGTAAAGAGGACAGCTTTCTGTTCGAGTTTCGGTAAAGGTGACTGGTTAGGACCGTTCAAACAACTATTATCTGTGTTTTGCTTTATCCAGTAATTCGTTTCATGATAACTGTCTACAACAAAAAAGATGCTTCCTACCCTTAATAGCAGTTAATCAAAGAGATCGATCACGAAAGGCGAAAGTGAGTGGTTAAGTTAATTTGTTGGGTACTGAGAAAGACTGAGGAGACCTTAAGACGAAAACAAAAAGTTATTCGAAATAAACATCTAAACTGTCAACGCAATTGTTTTCAGTTTATTTTTTTTTCTTTTCAGGGTGCCCGATGGAAGATGGTTTTGTTCCTTTTGACAGTAAGGAATTCAATTTCACAAGCTACTTGAGTAATGCCCGAGAAAGATTCACTGGACGGCTCTGGCTCTACAATGAACTGGAAACGAATTTGATGAAACAGGATACCGATCGTGGGGTTCTAGTAATTGGTGAGCCAGGCGCAGGGAAATCTGCACTGACTGCCCAATTGATCTGTTCTCGCTCATCTAATCCTTTTATTCACAAAAGAATCATTGGTTACCATTTATGTAAGCACGCAGACAAAGCAACTCAAGACCCTGGTCGATTTGTTCGCAATTTGGTCGACTTGATGGCCAGAAGAGTTCCAGAATATGGAATGTTGGTCTCTAACAGCTCATTCATCCTTTCAGTTCTAGAGAGAAGTTGTTTAAGAGATCCGTTTGAATGCTTTGAACAGGCTGTGATGGCGCCACTTTTGCAGTTAAAAGGTGAACCTCAAATCTATTTCATTGTCATAGATGCCTTAGACGAATGCTCGTCAGAGAGTGGAGGGACTTCAGTGGTTCAGTTTATCATAGAAACGTCCAGTAAGCTGCCAAAATGGATCAGGCTTGTGATGACTTCTCGCAATGACTCAAATGTATTAAAACACTTCAGTCATTTCCCCAAAGTGTATTTGTCATCCACAGATGCACGAAACTTACAAGACATCGAGGTATTTATCACCGCTAAACTATTCGAAGATGCGCCGATTCTCGAAAGATTGAAAGTTATGTTAGGTTTTAGTAGCGGTGAAGAAATTTCTTTCCTGACGAGCAGGTTATTGAGCCAGAGCCAAGGAAATTTTCTTTACGTAAAAGAAATGTTCCATTTTTGGAAAGACGATAGGAATAATGAGGTAGACTTCGGACATATCCCAAAAACAATTGGTGGGATTTACGAGAGATACTTGAAAAGGATCTATGGTTCCAGAGAGAAATTCAAGCCCGCTCTAGCTATTCTAGAGATCATGGTGGCTGCATTTGAGCCGATGCCGGTTGATAATTTGTATCGAGTTTTAAGAACGCGGGAAAACATCGACTATGAATATGAATTTGTTTACGCGCTTAAGGATCTTTCACATTTTATCAGATATGGAGAAGACAACACCATCACTATATTCCACCTTTCCTTTACGGAGTGGCTCACTAGCAATGGAAACCTTGGAAACCCATTCTATGTAAGTCTGAAACGTGGTCACAGACGCTTAGCGGAATACTATTTAAGTGTTGTAAAAAAGACCCAGAACTCTGCTATGGACATCTACCGTTTAGCTCAACACGTTACTTTTGGAGAGGGTGATGACAATTTTCTGGAAGAGTTTGGCAATATCAAAGCTTCTTACATAAATACCTCTATTGACGTCGAGAACAGGACCCTTCTTCATCTTGCTGCAGCAAATAGCAATAAAAAAATTCTTGAGCTACTTGTTCCAGCGTTTGATAGCGTTGATTGTGAGGACAACTATGGCTTTACTCCTGGCTTTGTTGCAGCAAAGAGCGGTCTCAAAGAAAACGTTGAATTTCTCGTCAGTAAGGGAGCTAAAATTGAACACCGAACAAAGCCGCCACCTTCTTTCTACTCTCTACTGAATAGCTCAGTAGTTTCAATTGATCCTATTGAACGAGCCAAAACCACCCTTTGGAACTCCACTATGATGCACGCCGCTGCATCAGGAGGTCATGTTGCCGTAATACGAGCTCTTCTGAAAAGGAACGCTTCGTTTCGAGAAGTAAATGGTGTTAACTTGACAGCCATCCAGCTTGCAGCACAAAATGGACATTTAGATGTTGTTAAGCTTTTGTACTATAGTGGGGCAAATGTAGACCACCTTTGTCTTCAACATGCAGCTCACGCTGGCCATACAGAGGTTGTTAAATTCCTCATGAAGATTGGTATACTGGACACCTGCATGCGATGTGATGGTATATTTTACTGGCTTGGAAACAAAGTCCGATATCAGGCAGGGCCTAGTTATAACTTCAAAGACGCAGATGCGTACATTTTGGCAGACGATAATTACAGAATCAAATGCCAAAGTGCACTTCATTTAGCAGTCACTGAAAAACATACAGAGGTTGTTAAACTGCTACTTTCTGGGGAAGATAAGACAATCCATTGTAAGGACTTCACAGGCCGAACTCCTCTTCATGAAGCGATAAGACAAAATCATGTGGAAATATCAGAGCTTCTTATACGAAGTGGTGCTAGAGTTTCTCAAAAATGCATGCGCTTTCAAAATTTATCTTCTGTTTGCAACAGCTCGGAGAAGAAGTGTATTCAGCAAAGAACATTTTTGAGTAAAAGAGAGCTAGAAGAATACCAAAAGGATCTGTGCCATTGTGGCACCACACCCTTTCTACTTGCAGCAAGATACGGTCATATTGAGGTCGCTTCCCTGCTTTTGCGGTATGGTGCAAAGTGTGACGATAAGGATTGCCAAGGGGCCACGGTTCTTCACATTGCTGCATGTCATGGACATTACGATTTAATTAGGTGGCTCATCTCTCAACGTACTTCTCTTCATCTTAACATGAAAAGTAAAAACCTGTCTACACCACTTCATAGTAGCGCCATTTGTAAAATCAACAGAAACATTAAACCTCTGTTAGACATGGGTGCAAATATCTATGAAACTGATGAGAACGGAATGACGCCTCTGCATTACACTGTCATGAATGCATATGAAACCGATTCAATTGTATTATTTCGTAGAGAGATTGTGGACGGTTCGTTGTTTACCACAGTTCTGGGGTCAAAGGGTGATGTTACAGTGACACATGATTCTGATGTCATTTACAGGACTTTGCCGTTAAACTTTCAGTGTTCAAAGCTTATAGACATTATAGAATCATCAAATAATTCGTACATAAATGCGATGGATATAAATGGAAGAACAGCCTTGCATCTCGCAGCAAAAAATGGAGAGGAGTGTTGTGTCATAAAGCTACTGGAAGGACGCGCAAGAGCAGATTTGAAGGACCTTCAAGGGAAAACTCCTCTTGACTTTGCCTCAGAGTTTTCTACCAAAGCGCATGAGTGCAGGTGTTGCAACAACATGGTTGATTTAGACATGATTCTGGCCGTAAACCAAAGATATCATAATTCAATAGTTGACATTCTCCTCTCAAGAGAGGTTGACTTCACCCAGACTTGTGACAAGGAAAAAACACATTTATTGCACCGCGCCCTTGAGATGCAAAACCCAGTAATTGTTTACCTTATACTTTCGAAGGGCCTTAGTCTAAGCTGTAAAGATGCACTAGGTCGAACACCACTGGTAACTTACCTTCAAAATGGTGGAAAGTGGCTAGACGTAATCTTAGAACGATTTAATGTACCCATTCACATCGAATGTGGGAAGCCATTCAACATGTCCGAATTCCACTTGCTGGCATTTAGAAAGCCAACAGTCCCGTCAGACAACCTTCTGGAGTACCATACCTGTGATAACTTTTATTGTTTTACAGAAAATGGGCCCGTTATGAAAGCGATAAAGGTCCATCCCTTGGGATTCCGTGTCATAGACGAGTGTCGTGATGCAGAGGGATACACGGCGTTACATAGAGCTGCTCAAGGTGGCAATCTGCTTGTACTAAAGACATTTCTCTCTTTAGGTGCTGATCCTACCGTTTTGACTTCTCAGGGTCATAGTGCTTTGGAACTTTCCATTATGTGTGCTGGGATAACCCCGTTCTCATTTCAACAAAATAGAAAAATTGCCGAGAAATCGGCTGATCTTTTGTTTCAAGCTTTGAAACGTTTGGCACACTTTGATGTTGGATGCAACAGAACCCATGCAAAGCTTACGATCTATCACTTGTCCGCTTATAGAGGTCTAACTGGCTTTGTGAGAATGCTTTTAAGTGATACTGGTCTCAAGGGAATTGACCCAAACTGCTCTAATCTACATGGTATAACACCTCTGTACCTGGCCAAACTCAATATTGGGACAGTGAACACTTCCGAAGGTGAAAGAGATTACTGGCAGGAAATTACTGATTTGATTGAGAGCAATGGGGGTGTTCTCTCCTATCCTAATCGTGAGGTTGAGCTTCACGCAATATATCAACATCTCTACGGTAGTCACCTTGAACCGTTTACACTTGGTGTATTTGAAGCCGACGGTAAACAATTCTACAAAAACGAGCTAAGTACATGCACGGAACATGATTTAAGATATTACAGTGCTGGTACAAAGATAAATCCTTACGCTGAAGAGATCGATGTAACCCTGAGGCAAATAATGAAGTCTCTCCGTAATGGAATACTTCTTCCTGAGCAAAGAACGATAACACAAGCCTTAAAAATTCTCCTTGAGAGACAGCAAGCCTTACAAGATCTGTCTGTCCTGTTTCATGACCTTGCAAGTGGGTTTGAAGAAATTAATCTAAACGAGGACAGCATTGGGGTGAAGGCTATCACGGACAAAACAAGCTCTCTAGCCGTTCAGTACCCAAGCTTTGTTCCAACTAACACAATGCAGTCTTTGTTCATCCTAAAAGACAAGACACGTCGCAGCGAAGAGCGTCTTCGTAAGCTTCATTTCGAACACAAGTCTGTAAAAGCGATCAATCGCCACGAACTAATGTATCTTAACAAGTTTTGGTATGAATACAAGAATCTCTTGGGATATAGTAAGGAGTTCTTCAATCTTCTCGAAAAGTACGAAAGAAGTGAAGTATGCGAGGACGAACTTTTTCAAGCCACACTATTGAAATTAGCGTTTCAAACTTATGTTTCAAAATCTAGAGTAAATAATCCGATAAGTTTGACGCGAGATAGACTTGAAAACGCAGAGTTTTTTTCCAGCCGGATCCCAAAGGAGTGGATAGTTACGCAAAAGGGAGGCTGGAATCGAGCTGTTAAGTTTCTTTATCAGCGGGCAACCAAGAGAGATTTAGCTTTCGACTATCTTAAAGATTTAAGTTTGGGATCTGATACGGACACGCGGATTCCACTGAGTGCAGATTCCCTATTTTGGCTCCATTTTTAGAAAATAGCAACTGGGATAAAAGAAGCGACAATTTAATGATAAGATATATCTTTGAACAGTTCTTTTGAAATCTCCACTTTAAGATATCGCAAAGTACAAAGTTGAATTTAAAAGGTTACCCAGAACGTTGATTGGTATACACACCATTGTATTGTTACAATGGTTTCAAGAAGAGTCAATGAGAGATGAGAATGGGTTTGTGAAGCTAAAGGTAACTGGTAACTGGTCAGTGGTTCAATCAAAGTTCTCTCGCGTTTAAAGCTAATGACAGTAGTTGATCAAGACATCTAAGATTGCTATTTTATGATCAACTGCTTCCAAGTGTTCCCAAATCTCACGGGGCTAAGCTAATTTGACATGGTTTCTTCCATATGGAGGTAGCTTGCGAAAGATCCTATTGCAATTTTAAGATTCCTTTTAAGAAGATACATATCACTGGTAGAATTCAAGTTTCTTCCCCTTTTCTTACAATTTGCAATGAAATAAATATACTTGCACCTTACGTTCTCTTTGATTTTCCTGTTTACTTTACGGTCATAAGGAATTTGCAATTTTTTAATGTTTTTATGTTTTTATTATAAAACACCATCTCGTGTCATAACACTAAAGCATTGTCATCACGTCAAAACGTATCTTATTGAGTTTCACGCGGGCTGAACATGTGAGTTAAGTGGTGGCAGTGATGAAAGTTGAACCCAAGCCGCAGAAGAGACTGGTGCCGCAAACCAATGCCCTAAAACACGGTCATGATACCTGTCGAAGAGCAAAAGTTAGCAGTACCGCGAAACTAAATTTTTCGATGCAGTCACAAAAGAATACAATTCGTTCATTATGTTACATGGAGGGCGTTCGAGAAGGCGATGAGACGAATGCTCCATGAATAATGAAATTTCGCGTTGGGTTTGTAGACGATGACAATAACTTACTCGAGGAGTATTTAAATCGTTCAGCTTGACTTTGTTACAGTGACAGCGTTAGTGTAAGAACCTGCACATTGTCGTCAAATTCGGATTTGAATGCAAGGAAAGATAACTTTCCTATCTCACCGCTAAATGGTTTTTAAATACTTTAATCTTAATTTGTACACGGAAATCAAACTCTACACAACGTTTCTTTCAAGTCTTATAATATCAACCTTCACTTATCCTTAAATATTGTACAATATTAACGCAAAACATCAAGTTATCGTCAGTGGAGAGCCTTGACAAGTAACTTCCTTTTAGTACAAGAAATCTACTGGAAAGATTCCTCCCTGTTCAGAGCAGCCACACTCTGTTTCACTATCTTCGAGAAACCACTGCAAATTAAAGAAAAGCACGTGAGTAATCCGACCCGACAATTTCAAATTTAGCGTCAGGAAATAAACTTCAGCAGAAGCTTGTGGGCAATTAACTAAAGAGTTAAAAGAGATTTACTCCTTAGAGCGTCTCGGTGATGTCTATAGTTTTAAGCTGAAAAGGCTCTGTCTTAATCTTAAACCATTGCTATTAAAACGGTTCAACTGTGCAATTCGATTAGATTTTTCTAACGATGAAACACAAATCTAATATGAAGAATGTCAAATTTTGACATAAAGAACGAAGATTTTCTTTAACCACGAACGCGTCGTATGCTTAAAATCTGTTTTACAGAGTCAGAAAGCAAATAGACGCCTAAGCCCATAAGAATGTTTGAGAGACGAACAAGGTAATTGATAAGTATTAAGTAGGATCAACTGGTACGCTTCTGACCAATGAGGCGCTCTAATTATAAGAAAGGAAGTGCCTAACGCATCTCTGAGGGGTAAATATTATGCACAGCATTCTTTTACTCTGAACTGATAAATTACTTTTCGTCCTTGTATATCCTAAAGTAGTAGTCTACAAAATCGCTTCTCCCAAGATTTTCCACAAACTCTTCATCATGGGTGATGATCACAAGTTGAAAGTTTCTCTGCAGATGTCTGGTTCTGATGACGCTGAAAAAAATTAATGAGAACCAGGCAACAATGGGCAACTATATCAGTAAGCCACACTGACACACTGACTAACAAGGACAATTTGTTTACAAGGAACCCAAATTACAAAAGTGGTATTCAGTGGGTCCTGTAGAACCTTACAACAGTGCCTCTTCAGTAATAAAATTCGTTGTTGTTTTTCTTCCCACACAAACTCAACCACTTTTGCAATTCTAACTCTCATGAAACTGAGTATCGGCCCACTAACGAAGACAACTATCAAACTTACCATTTCTAAACAAAATAAATGGCACATCTGGATGAAAAGAAACGTTTTTTTTCTTTTTAATCTTTCAAAGCAAACTAGGGTGACCCGAGAACTTTCTAAAGACAACTGTGGGTGGCTGATCAAAACCTAATGAGGCGATAAAAATCGTGAAAAATCTGCAAACATCAAACTATAAACAGCAGCAGATTGCTTAGTTCACAGCAGTAAGCTGAGCAGTATTATCAGAGAAACTTACGCTGCTAATTGGTTCGCAAGACTCTCTATGTTATCTTCATCCAAATTTGTAGTCGGTTCGTCGAGAGTTAAAATACCGCAGTTCAGACAAAATGTTTCTGCTAGAGCTAATCTGATTATCAACGATGCCAGAACCTGTCAAAGCAAAATAGCAGCGGACGAAAAGCAGTGAGAGGGTTTGTAAAAAGGAAAAAGGAAATTAAATTAAAATTTTCCAAACAGTCTCTGATTATATACCGGACCAGCAATACACAATCGTTTGTCCTTCAGAAAGTCAAATGTCACCTCTCATTTGCACAATTACGATTTATGTTTCGAAGGTCGGGGGAAGGGTGGTAAAAAGATCTCCAAGTGACAAAGAATATCAAAATTTCAGACTTAGGTGGCTTGCCTATGCAGCTCAATTGACAGTGTACCAGGCAAATAGTTGTAAAAAAGATGACACAAACACACTTCAAAAAAAAAAATAATAAAATAAAATAATAATAATAATAATAATAACAATAATAATAAAACAAAATAAAGAACGAAACCGAAAACAAGGTTCCTATGGTCGCAAGAGTACAATCTAAGATCTTTAATACCTGTTCGAAGGACGGTTGCCTCGTGGGGTCTTATCTTAGTGTAAGCTTCCAATTCAAGCCCCTAATGCTCAGGCACTGCGGCTGTGAAAAGAAATCAGCGAGTAAACAAACCTTCTGTCCAGCGCTACAGCGTCCTCTCATGTCCAGTACTGTGTCTCCTTTAACCATAACCACCTGATAAAACAGTGAAGTAAAAAGATTTACTTAATTCCAACGGGCGACAGAGCTGAATTATGTCTGCACTCTTCACGTGCACGCTTGTGAATCCTTACCAACAGCATACATCATTAAAAATATTCACCGACCACTAGAAGTTACCTAAAATCTCCGGCAATTTCAATACATTATCCAGCGAAAAAAATAATTAAAATTGACCATCTTATCAGTTTAGGTCCGTTATCTTACAACAGACTCTCTTAAATAATTGAGTAAAACTTTTAAAAAGCCTGAGAGGATAAATACTAATCAGAATCTTCGTAGTCCTCTGATAAAATGGCAAGACTATTTCACATAAAATGATGAAGTGGAGGACTCTTCTTCTTCAAAAAACTTATTTACCAAGATTACCTAGGGTTAAAAGAAAACAAAGCTTTTTACCCTGTAGTTATACGTCCGTCGTGCTTTAATCGCTCCACTTCCTTCTTCCTCGTCTGCACGAATTTCAATTGTATCGATATCTACAGAAAAACGATTTAGAGGAGATCTTTGACTTAATTATAAATTACAGCGACAGCTCTATTGTCGAGTCTGCATTAAAAAAATTGTCACCACTGTAACGTTTAAACTCTAACAAGCTCCTTCTATCCTTTAGTCATTTTTTTCCCAGTTCGTCCCAATTTTTTTTATCGAATGCCTAGTCTTGATTTGCTGTCGCTTGTGTTATTATCTTTCAGGGACATTTTAAGGAGACTGGAAGGGTAAGCAGAAAACGGCCTTTTCATCTAAATATTTGGTCCAGCAAAATGACAAAGGAATATTCTCAAAATGACAGACAAGTGATTTGATGTGAGATACGGTCATTACCACATATGATATACGAAATATATCATGTTTGAATGGCCTATCGATGAGAAGCCGGGGTTTCAATTTTTTTTCCATAAGCCGGCTGCCGATGATGTAATAGGGAAACAGGGGCTGTAAGGCGAAACCCAAACAGAGAGCCTGCTCGCAGGCTGAACAGACGGCGGTAAGAGGTCTTATGGGCTGCAGTAGACCACCCGTAACCGGCTTTTAATGAAATTAGCGCAGAAGCGAATTGAGAGCATGTCTAAGAGACTCGCTTATCTGACCTGTAAACTCTCTTAAAGACCTTCCACAAGGGAAAACAGGAAAATTGCAGGCTTAACAGACTGAGTTAGACAGAGTTATGTATTCTTACCATTCCCCTTGTATGTGTTGATCCAATACTCTTTGATAATTTTGTTGATCTCAGCCATTTTAATTCCGTGATATCGCATAATGGCCCTAGAATACACCAGTCGTTAAAACTGAATGTTACTGTTGAGTTAAGAAATGTGACTTGCGCTGCGTGAATGCGCATGACATTTGTCCTGATTGAGAGAATACAAAGCAAATAAGTCGACGGCATTGAGAACATCTAAAGGAACACACTCCCACAGCGTAAATGTACAATCTTGTTTTGAGTACGTCGTCGCTATTGACTGATGAAACGACTGAGACCAAAGAACAACTACAATAACAACAAAAGCCCAGCAAAACATAATGCTTGAGTACAACTCGTATTTGCTAGAATTAAATTTAAATGAACATCTTAAATAACAATAAACTTTCAATAAAAAATCAATAGACTAAAAAGAAAAAGTAGTAAGAACTAGAAGACGAGACTAGAACCAATGTCCCAGAAGAAAGGGCTGCCTAAATTAATTAACCACACCACCTAATGAAGAAGATCGCCAACCTGTCAAGAGCCTTATAGTACTTTCCAAGGTCATCATTTGCCATTTCAGTGGTCTGTAAAGTATTGACAACGGTTAAAAGCTTTGCGAAAACATTGACGAGACGAAGTTACCCAACCAGACATACGGGGCTTAAAACCACGTGTCACAAAATTAAGCGATTACGTTCACTTTCAGTTGGAGGAAATTGGAGGAAATTGGAGGACCTCAATCTTCCAAATACTTTGAAATCATACATTCTGCGCACGCACAGCCCAACATGGTTTTAAGTTTTTGAACGTCTCTCACATGTTAGAAAGGGACGTTTGACTTTAGGTGCGCGGACGAACGCGTTAACGAAGCATTGTATATGGTTAGGGGGACCTTAACGAATCATAAATATCCGCCATGGTAAGAGAAAATAGGCCTCTAAAAACAAAAATTCCAAGGTCTAAATTATACGTAAGCTACAATTAGCGTCGAGAATTTCATATAAAAATGTGCAAAGAATCGAAAATTGAATCATCTCATTTGTTCCCTACGTGCTAAGTACGAAAGACGTTGGGAGAAAAGCACCACCTGCACACTGACCATTTGAAAACTATTATGCCTATTGAGGTGGGCGAATCACTAGTTATTGCCTGTATCACTCACCTTCATAGCGATGACTTTTTGTCTGTGTTTCTCCTCAGCATTTTTAAACAAGTCACTGCGCAACTCCTTTTGGCACCGCCTCAGGTCATCCTCGTAACCTGTAAGTCGCCCTTCGTGGTGCGCTTTCTGAAAACAGGTCAAGTATGTCATAGGAAAATTGATCAGAAAACTTCTGTAAATATGAATATTAAAATGATTATCTCCCCAATTTTCTTTAAACAGCGCTGTCGATTTCTTTTTCAATTGCTTCCATCGAGAAAAGCTATCGGCATCAACACCAGGATTCTTCCTTGCCTTGTTTTCCATGTCAGGTGTTGGGAACTGCCAGTTTCGATATAGGCATTGATATTTACAAAGAAAATTATTAAGGATTTCAAACATATTGTAGTCTAGCAAGTTCCCCTTAGCGACTTTCCCTGGAGGGACATTATATACAACAAACGCTTTTTCTTTGCTTTGCAACTGTCAAAGAAAGCTTGTTAAAACAAATGTCTGTGATAAGAGGCACGAGAAAAATTAACCGTTTAAGTATACATTTCACTTGCACAGCCATTACTGTTGCCTTCATCAGCCCCCTTAGATAAGATCTATTTTGGATGATAAGTTAAAATCTCCTCGATAAACCGATACTTTCCTGTGGTTTATACAATGTGATGCGCGCAGTTACCTCTTTCCTTAGATCGTCAGATCGCTGTTGCAATTCTTGCCTCTCACTAAAATGAAAAAAAAGCCGTAGTTTTTTTAGAATAAATCATTTTATAGAGAAGTGCAAACCAGTTCCATTCATTCAAACTTTCACATGTCTCGAGACGGCCCAGAGCGATTGAAAACTTTGATGTACATGCTCAAGACAGTGTCACGATGAATTATTCTCAAAATGTCTCCAGAACCATTTTTGTGCTTCTGAGCTGAATACCTTCCCCTTGTCGTTTGTTTCTTCCTGTTAATAAAATTGACAGTTTTCCCTGCGTCGATCTACCCAAAGATCGTTCATGGAATGAAAGATAATCTTAGCCTGCCTTCAACGTGGAAACCACGGCGTACTCCACGCAATTGGAAAGTGATGGCAAGCTTTTCAACTGTGTCTTGGGAGATGGGCACGCACAGAAAGAAAAACTTGATATTCCATGTGACTCCTCACGTAACTCCTTTTTTGGAACACTGAAGCAATCAAGAGTTTATTTGACTCCTAAAAGAACCGAAAGCCTAGCATAACTGAAAGAAAAAACCAAAAGGGACTTTAGGCAGCTTTTCCTTGTCTCTTACCTAGCAAGGTCCTGGTGGTCGCCAAACTTACGCAGTTCTTTGTAAACATCTGCCATTTTCTTGTCGATATTTTGAATTTCTTCCTGGGTACTCTTCAACTGAATGTTGTCCTCAAGTTCACGGGCCCGTATCTGTCAACAAAGTTTAAAACATCTCGTAGTTTTGAATCTGGACAATCTCCTTTAGTGACTTGGGGAATTTGGTACAAGAATCGCTTCTCCGCAGAGTACAAACTGTTGTTTTAGCTGTTACATTCATTAGCTTAGCCGTAGTTTATCGAAAAAAGAGAAATCTGAAAAGGAAATGGGTAACGAAAGAACAAATTGTTTGAAGTTCATCATAAATAAAAAAGTTATTTATGATTTACAGGTTATCAATCATTGATTATTCGAATACCCTATGCATTTTTTATACTAATGTTCTCTACCAGGCACGCAATGCAATCAATCTGCCACTTTTTAAGAGAGAGTGTGGAAACAACTACGCATGACGCTTTCGTGCATGAGCTGTCGATAATTTGTAGGCAGCTATTTTCAAGCTAACTCGCACGGCGGGCTCCTAATAGGCAATTGGAAAAGGAAAAAAATTCCATCGAATCATATTTATATTTTTGAAGACAAAAATTTTAAAGGCTAACCTGTTGCTTGGAAATGTCGTTCTTCAGTTTATCGATTTCAGAAGACACAGCTTCTTTCTCCGATTTCAGTTTGTCTGCTCTACCTTCCACTTCTCGTAAACGAGCCTCGTTTTCCTGTAAGGCCGTTGTGCCTCCATCGCTCACGTACCTTAAAAAAAAAACCCTGAATTAACAATTCACCGCATAAAGTTAGAGTTTAGACATTCAATGAAGATTCAGATAACGTCTCTCTAATAGTAATAGAGGTTGGTACATCATTACCATTCGCTGGTAAAATGCTCTTTCCCGTTTGGGGTGAGAATGATTGTACCACCCCTCCCCCTCCCCCGCACACACACACACACACCCAACCACTCACCCATTCGATGTACGTAAAGCAGGTGGTAACCTTCTCATAAATAAGGATCGGATTAAGTTTACCTAACATCTTAAGAATATAACTAAACAATAACATTTGAAATAAAAGGAAACCTAAAGATAATTCGTGATTGTTTAAAAAGTCAACGTGGTTCAGAATTAAAGTTAATTGCATGAGTCCATGCAAAAACTCTGTCATTGACGATGTTGCTTCCATTGCTGAAGTTGTTAAGAAAAGCAATGAGGCAGCAGGTTTCTTCTGCTAGTACAGGGCAAATATTAGACATGTCACTTCTGACGGCTCCTTTGAGAGCTAATAAATTGCACGCCGGCAGTTTTACTGTGGTAGTTAAACTCCAACTATAATACTTTGAGGTATAACCGATACTCATATTTTAAGGACACGATTTCTTCGAGGTTTGACCACTAAGTTTGTTGAGTTGTCCATAAATTTTTGAGCAATAATAAATAATAAACGTGCCAAGTTATTTAAAAAGACAAGAACCGGAGATTGACTTTTTACGTAATTTTTTCAAATTCAATTTATGCAATACACATTGTTCTTTTAGCTGTTATTTCAAGGGAAATCCAGTATTGAGTTAAAAAAAAGAATAACATGCATCTGCATGTGATTTATCTGCACTCAGAGAAAGCTTTCAAACAAAATTTAAAATTTTGCGGTTCATTTTAGCTTCAATATCATTCCTTCAAACTGGCGACAACGTGTCACACTGCTTTCAATTAAGATAACAAAGAGCACAGAGATAAATATTCCTTCACAAAAGAAGAAAAAATTGGATCGAAGTGAACCCTTCTGAAATAATAAGAGTCGGTTTGATTGACGGTGGAAAAGAACGTAATCGCTGAAAAACAAAACGACAAGGGATATTGCTCTACCATCTGTATTTACCATTGACACAAAGAAAAATTAATATCCCCGTTGGGCCCATTAAAAACAAAAAAACAAATAAAACTCAATTAAGGTGCTTAAACAAAAGAATAGAAACGATTGCATGGAAAACGACTTAACATATGCTAAAACGGCTTGCACTGTAAATGCTGATGGTAAACGATTGTTAAACTTGAGCGCACGGAAGCAACATGCAGCACAACGAGAACTCGACGTTCGACTCGTTCACAGATCTCATCAACACAACAACACGTCCGTCGGAAGAGAGGTACGTCTTGGACCACTGGGCTTTTAAGTTTTTCTCTTATTTCTTTGGCATTGCTTTTGGTATTTTTTCGCTTTGCTGCCTTGTTTTCATCGTTCGACAATGTAAGCAGCCATCAAGCAGTCGGAGCATCCACAGTCGCTTTACAACTGTTCAACTGTTTGTGGCAGCGGCTTTGAAAGAAGTCGCGCTATTTTGGTCCCCTCTGCTGTTAGACGGTGAAACAACTGAAATAGTATTAATAACACTACTTGTAGATTGTGTCTCGGTAGCGCTGATTCTGACTGCTTTTAGCATTCTTCTCCTCATATTGCTGGAATCAACCAAAATATCATTAGCTCCACCGAGGCTCCAAAACATTTGGGTGTTGCTCGGATTTACAGTGGTTCCGACCGTAATTATGCTCACATTCAACCTGTTGGTGCTGTACGTCAGAGAAGTTTGGTACCTCGTATCCTATGTGACAATTCTTGGCTGGGGAATATTCATCTGCGTTGGTTACCTAATAGCAGGACACAGGATGTGGCGAAACCTGAAGTCATCGCGACAGCTCGGAACATCTTCGGGAGATCGAAAGCTCAGAAACATAACCTTCCTTGTATTCGTAGCACCGTGGATCACTGCAGTATTTCTAATTCTCGACGTCTGCCTCGCTGCCAGCTTTTACGAAATGTCATCAGTGGCGGTCACCGAAAAGGAAATCTGGGAGAGATATACGATAGCATTTTTGCTCCAGAGCTGCGAGTTTACAATTGTGCTTCTGATATTCGGAGTTGTCGTAAGAACGAAGTCTGGAAAAGGTTCAGTTGATAATGCTCCAACAGTACAGTTAGGAACATTTTTTGATGAAGAGCCAAAGACAGAGAACTAAGAAGATGACAACGAATATGGAAGTAAAATCATCACACCAAAGTAAGACATGGATTCCTGTGGGACGTTCTTTCTTTCCCACACAAGTAACTTTAGTTGCGAGAAAAGAATTCAACTATAATAGCAATTAGATAGCAAAACAAGAATACAATGCGAGTCGATTGAAAATTTAAAAATTCTTCAAAAGAGGGAGCTACTACAAAGCCAGCGTGACGGGCACTCAGTGACGTAAATCTAGAGCGTGAGTTTGTAGGGACGTTGTGGGAAGAGGGAAAACGCACCTCTTTCGAGCGCGCGTGCCAAGGAACAAACGCTTCTTTAACTGGAGCGGTTGCTACACAGAATGTTAACGAGGTCGAGCCTTTCAACTTGAGGACACAACTAAGATAATCCTCAACTGAAATTATAATAACTTCTCCTGCTAAATTTTACCTTTCAGTGTTACCTAATAGTTAATATATAATCCTTGAAACGTAATTTTTTATATAGCGATAGACTCTTTCTCAGAGAGCCGCGTTCAATTTACGTGGTGATTTCATTCGCAAACTTTACAATTCAGCGCACTGTCTATTTAACATGACAAGGTTTTTCAATCAATATTTACCAAGGACAAAGGTACAAGGGATTATGTCCTCGCTTGTGAAAAGCCGCTTTTGTCGCGTAGTCGGTAGCGACACAACCCTTTTCGGGTTGGCCCTTATCCAATCGAGGAAGACAATGGTAAAGAATATGAACTTAAAATAAAAATTACATCATGAATGGTCTTATTATGGAGTTCAACAATCAATAACCACTTCGTGAATATTCATTAAATAAAGAAAATATTTTTCTCGTCTCAGTTCTTTGAGAATGACCAAGGAAAGATAATGTTAAAAGGTCAATGTTAGTAAAAAAAAATTGATAAATTGATTGGTAGTTTTTGCCATGAAATATTCCAAGCACGCGATTTTGATAAAAAGATGTCACCTCCTTAATTTCAGTCAGGAAACATAACTATAAAGCAGAGATTCAGCAATTGTAAAGCACACCAGATAAGTAAGGCTAATGCAATAACCTTCCACAAAGATGCTCTGAATTCTCTTTTCAAAGTCTCCTTCGCCTGAAGTTAGAACGCACTTCTTATAAATTGGAATACCGACGATATAAATAAAGTCAATTCCGAACTCTCGTTAATCTAAAAAAAAAAAACAAAAAGAGAACAAATAAACACAAACTACTCAACAGAAGCAATAACAATCCGAATGCGTGCATAACAATTAACGAATCCGCATTACACTAAATTTAGCTTTCATCATTCATTTTGAGCATCCTTGCATGACCATTAAGTGTAGAAAGCCATCGTTAACTTCTGAAGTAAAACCTGTCACAATACACGTTTGTATCTACTGACATTAAAGTTTGCCTTCAAAACGTCAATCTATTTTAGAAAAGGAACGCGCAATTGAACAAATTTGCATCAATTGTTCATGCGCAACTGCAAATAGCGATACGTTATTAAAAAACTATGGGTCTAAGTCGACGCACAATCGCAACGAAATGAAACAAAACCAAACCTGGTCGCAAGAAACACCACATTTATTTTCCACGCCGAGCCTTATGTCATCTACGAGCGTGGAGGAACTTTTAAATCACTGGGCATGGAAGTTTCATACTTATTTTTTTGCGGCATTGTATATCATTTTCGCAGTGAATTGTTTAATTGCTTTAATAGAAAGAGAAATTTCCAAGGCGCGCTATGTTACCGCACTAGTGTTGTTCAGCTTTTCAAAGGCCTTCAATCTATCGGCCTACAGCATACTTCTCCTGGTTTTACTCGAATCAACAAAGGTTTCAATCGCGTCACCGCGCCTTCAAAATATTTGGGTGTTACTAGGTTTCACAGCTGTCTTCACGGTAACCCTTGCTACGTTCAATTTGCTGGTACTGTTCGCAGACAAAGAGCTTTGGCGCTTTACCTCAGATCTGGTCGTCTCTACATGGGGAGGACTAATTTGCTTTAGTTACGCGGTGGCTGGGTATAGAATTTGGCGCAACCTAAGATCTTCGAGAGACATGGACAACGGTCGAAGAAATAGAACGCTCAGGA